TCCTTCCCCTCGAACAGTTTCAACTCAATCACTGATGCCGTCACACGCACCTCGAGGCCCTCCAAAACCGTCCGTTGCGACCCAGGAGTCGTCACTCCAGAAGAAGGCGAGCTCCTCAACAGCCTGAGAAATTCTCCTCACCATCGGTCCTCCCCCCCACCTACCCCCCGGTCCCAGAAAAATGGTCGCCAATAATAGTAGCACCATCCATAGGGGCGAACCAAGTCGCGCTGGTCTCCACTCCTCCATAACAGTCAAGCGTCTCCCTCCTCAGTGACGACGACGACAACGGCAGAGGTGTGGTGCCTTCTCGCTGAATCGACAGTTATCACCACCACCCTCGTCAATAGCAACTTACCTCAAGACCACCACCATCACCACATTCCTCTTCTCCCCACACACTAGCCTCCCCCTCCTCCTCGACAGCAGAGAGCGGCTCCATGGCTGTCACTGGAGAAGGGATCCCACTGTCATCAAAGTCCTCAATAACGCATAGACGCGGACCCTACCACAAAACAAACGGAGTCGGCAGGGCCGCATCACACGTCGACCTACCGCTCTGTCGGGTGGGGGGGCCTCCTCACACTCCTCTCCGGAAGATACTAAAGGATTGCTTGTCGTGACCGGGGAGACGGGCGGTTGTGGTAGAAGCGATGACGACAACCACGTAGTGAGAGAGCTCACACTGGCTAGGGAGTCGGCGCACAAGCCCACTGAACATTACAGAAGACAACTCTCGAGATCAACATTGTGATGATCTTTACGACAAAAAAATATCACAATTCATGATGATAAAATTTAGTGACAATCCACCGCACAGATAAAATATCACACCCTTCGAAGACGGCCAACTACACCGACCAAGCCATGACTCCAAAACTGGTCGAAACGATCGATATTCAGCGATTCGAGCGGTTAGTCCCCTCACCCTGTAGGTGATGAACATCCAATGCTATCCGAGCCCTCAAGTGGGCGTCTTGGGCCACTGGGGTTGTCACCACCACAGTCACACCCTTCGCTGCTGCTATCTGGGCAAAACCGACCTCCTTCAAAAGACCTCCAGCTGAGGTTGAAGACTGTGAAGGGAGGACCTGCACGACCACACAGTAGAAAATAGAAAGGAAATGCGCAAACTCCCCAATGCCGTTGTGAAGCTCACCAGTTCCTGGTCAAGTTTGGATCCGCCTCCATCTAGCAGCCAAAGGGCCGTCTCGGCGATGTGGACCTTCACGGTCCGTGTGGAGGCATTGGGTGGGAGGGAAGGAAGGGCCGCCTCCCCGGTGAGGGTGATTGCTCCCCTCACATCTCGGCATTCGATAGAGGGGTCTGGAGGGTTGAGGAGGCCAGCAGCATCGAGTGTGCCTGAACAAAAAAGGCTCGACCGCGAATTGAACTCGATACCTCACGCATCACGAACGCGAATTATACCACTACACCACAAATCCACATAAAGACCAACCTTACTTCCCTCAACAAGGCAATCCTCCACCAGCAAATAAAACACTGCCGCTCCTTCTGTCCCCTCCACCTCCTCTCTCCCCAACGCCACCTCAGCCGCCACTTCCTCCACAAATCCCTCCATCCCCGCCGCCAAAGCCGAGACCTCATCAACCCTACCCCCGCCCTGCATACCTGCCAACCACGCCCTGTGTTGAGATCGATTACTGTATCGCACACCCATGATCATAAAACGAGATCCTTCACAACCCGAATTCGGATAGTACTAATTAGTGCCAATTTATAAGCAGCCACTCCATCACCATCTGCGACCCCGGGGGAGGCTCTTACGTTTCAATGTGATAATAACCCGTCTATTCTCAACGACTCCTGATCGATCCGGAAGGTCTAGCTCTATCTTTAGGGATGGTGTAACACGCGAGTGCCCTACGAGGCTCTCAATTTCGCATGAATTCGGGAACCTGAGCGATTCCACCTCATCGCCTCCCTCCCTTTCTCCGACCCATCCTACTTGCTAGCCATCTCGAGATCTCGCAATACCCACGGCCGCAACACCGAGCCGACATACATCTCCCCCGCCTCTACAGTGCAGTGCTTCCCAGTGGGCGTCGGATTGACGTAGAGCGAACACATTCGGAAGGAGAAGTCAAGTTCGGACTCTCCACCTCCTAGCGATATGGCTAATCGATCAACGTAGACCGACATCGCAGTTTCGAGTGGCTCCCGGGCGTCCGAGGGAGGCGGCTCGGGTGTGCTCTCAGCGAAGGCGATCAAACACCTCGCCAGGGCGCCTATTCGACTAGCATGCCAAGGCGAGGGAGAGGACAGGCTCGGCAGGATGAGCTGCAATTCGAGTCGAGTCCCTTGAGTCGGATGAAGGTAAGCGTCCGCTGAAAGGAAGTGGACAATGCCATGCTCATGACTACGCTGATGACACGATACACCGAAGATCTACCAGAATCCAACGACGATCCCTTCCATATCACTACCAGTGGTGTCGGACTGAACTCGCCATAAAGTGAATGAGGCCACTGCTGCCTCCCCAGATGATGCCCTTGGGGTCTCCAACAGCACCGTGCCATCATCACCTAGTCAGAGTGCTCCTATTCTCTAAGTGAACGATCGGAATCTCACCCTCACAGTCCAAGACTGCAAGCTCCCCAATCCGACACATATTCCTCTCCACTACTAGATGGGAGACGAAAACCTTCACTGTGCGCAAACAATACGAAGGCTCCTCCTCCTCCTTGAAGGGTCCTTCAGCTTCAAACTCACTGACACAC